TTTTTTTAAGCGCTTCTGAAGGCCGCCAACGGGTCTGTTTAAGGGTTCGAGAGGTCAGGTATGACTTTTTATAAAATGTGGACTGCGAATTTTATAGTAGGTGAGGTATCAAAAGCCACGCCCCTCCCTTTTCGCCCACTAAACCAAAAAAAGTGGGCAAATAACCTGTGCTTTTTGGTGTTTGGGGTTAAGGGGAAGAAAAATTCCCTTAAACAGAACTAAACGTAAAAAATAAATACACTTATGTGGCAGCGTTAATATTGCTCATACGCACTGCCAACGCGCCATCGCACTGAACATCATTCTCGTCACGTAGTGGCCTCACAGAACTCTTGATATACCTTGATTCTCGTATTTTTAACTTTTTATGTACATAATTACTTTTTGTATCCGGCGAAAGAGAAATATTTGCATTTGCCTGCTGTGGCAATTGGATCTACCAGACATTTACGCAAGTTCGTAGTTAAAACTATATTCGCTTTGTTCGACTGACGACTGCTGCTACTTAATTAAATTAACTATATTTAAACTTTTGACCGATAATTTCCGTGACGTATTGTGAAAGTATAATTAAAGCAATCGGTAGTAATTTTCGGACTAACACGGCTTGGATTCGCAGTTCCTATTTTCTACTGAGACGCATAGCTTCGCAACAAATCGTTTATCTATCGGTGGAAAATTCCATTTCCTCGCAACTTAAACACACAACCGCTTGGAGAACCACGATTATTAGAAATATGGGCGATTGCAGTGTTGACTTGGATAAATGTTACGAAGTTGTGTCACAGTTGGTAGACAAAGCTGGAGCGGTAAGTTTGTGTAGGGCGTTTTGAAGCTCCTCCTTTACGGCAGGATTGTGACATGTATGTATATACAACCGATGTGTTCTTAATCTCTTATAGTTGGTGGCTAAGCGTAATGAAACCCGTCAAGAGTTTGAAGAAAAGGCAAATGATATTGATTTGGTCACAGCCACCGATAAGGAGGTGGAGCAAATGCTTATTCAGGGATTGCTCGATTCATTTCCCGACCATAAGTGAGTGTGGTAATGGGTTTTTCATTATTTATTTTCACTTTTTGCTCGCCTATAGATTCATTGGAGAGGAAGAGAGTGCTGCTGGTGGAACACCGAATAAGCTGACAGATGCGCCCACCTGGATTATTGATCCAGTAGATGGCACTATGAACTTCGTACATTCCTTTCCACACTCGTGCATTTCAATTGGCTTGAAGGTGAACAAGGTCACCGAAATTGGCGTTGTTTACAATCCAATGCTGCAACAGCGTTTCAGTGCACGCCGCGGTCAGGGTGCCTTCCTCAATGGACGTCGCATACAAGTGAGCGGTCAAAAGGAATTGGGGAAATCTTTGATTACCACCGAATTTGGCACAGCACGTGATACTGAGAAGCTGAAAATAATTTTCGAGAATTTCCAGAAAATTATACCCAAGGTGCATGGGTATGTATGAATGTTTTTACTTATACATATATGTATGTAGACATGTAGATACATATCGTCGTTTAAAGTGTAAAACCGCGTATCAACAAAATGCAAAACCGGGCATCAGCAAAATGCAAAACCGCGTATGTGAAGTTGTAAAAATCTATTTCTAGAGCGCAAAAACACTCATATTTCTAAATGGTTTTCTTTTTTTATAAAGCGATCGCATTTCTGGGTAGTATATTTCAGGACAAATGGATAAGGATTGAGTCAAGAGCTTGTGTGAGCAAATTCAATTTTTGGCAGCCGATGTCAGTTACGCCGTTTTGCAGAATGACGATACGCGGTTTTGTACTTTAAACGACGATATGTATGTAGATAATATACCGCAAATATGTTGTTGAGCGGATATCTCCAGTATGATGCAGATAATTTCATTATACTACATACATATTTGTTTTAGCAAGTGGTTAAATTTAATTGAGTGCTTAACACGAGTGTTTCACGTGTCACTTATTCTCCCGTCTTGCTTGCCATCAACATACAAATATGTATGTATGTACCATAGACATACACACTATACATGAGCACATATTAACTGAATTGTTTTTTTTTTTCTTTAATTTTGCTAGCATTCGTATGCTGGGTGCTGCGGCGCTCAATCTCTGCATGGTCGCTCTAGGTGCGGCAGATATCAATTTCGAATTTGGCGTTCATGCTTGGGATGTATGCGCTGGAGAGCTGCTAGTGCTTGAAGCAGGTGGCGTAATCATTGATCCGACAGGCGATAAATTCGATATCATGTCTCGACGTGTATTGGCTGCTTCTAGTGAGGAATTGGCACAAGAGTTTGCCAAGCAATTAACACAGTTCTATCCACAGCCACGAGATGATTAAGTTGGGGATCGAATTTATATCACTCAAAGATGTATATTTTATGGCTGCGTGCAACAACAGCAATATTGTGAAGTTTGAAATTATATACTCGTATGAATGTATACCAAGTATTTTTTTTAGGAACTGTTAAAAAAGGTAGTGGAAATTTTATGCAAATCTAAATATAAATGTAAATTATGTACTTCATTGTGTGAAAGCCACAAATATTTGTTGTAGTAAATTTTCAGAGTCTCAAAGAGGTTAATAAAATGTTCTTTAAATGCGTATCGTATTTGTAACTACTTTTTTTTTTTGTTGAGTTAAAGCCATTGTAAGAGTATATAATATGCACATGATAATTAACCAATTATGAAACATTTGTAAGCAAGTCTGGGTATCTTGTAAATCGTTTAGTGCCCATTTACCACATCTGAAAACAGGAAATATTTAGTTGTAAAATTGTGTTCTATTGAAATCGATGTACATACTATATGAATCTCAATAACTCAGGAAAGTCAAAACGGCTTAAAAATTAATTGGCAAGCATTCGAAATTGCGTTAGTTCCTTCAATTATAAATAAATGTTTTTAATAAAACCCCAATTGAAATTTTTATTTTTCTATTTATATTGTATGCGCCTTCATATTATATTATCATCATATTTTATGCATGTTCGTATATAAGTACGTCGGTATACATACATATGTAAAAATCTGACTATTTTTTTTTAATAAATAAATAGAAATACAGGAATGTGTCGACTGCCTCAAAGTTTTCGCCCTTCATTAAAATCATAAAATTTCTCATTATGTACTTATTATTTTCCCAAAATGTTTCTTTGCAATAGATCGCTCTTGTCATCTTGTAAGTTTTCTCTAGATACACACATGTACTACATGCATTATTTTATTACTATTGATGCAATTATTCGTTTCAACTGTAGTTGAATTGCTTTGACTCCTAATTTCTTATTTGTAAACGTATATAATATGTAAATATGTATGCATTCATGAATTAGTAACACTTAACTCTTGTTATCTACCTTCAAGTACTATGTGAAAGAGTAAGCAGAATTACTTTAAAATCAAATAAACTTTTTATTATATTTCTCATGTTTTCACAGCAAAGGCAAACAAAGGTTTTACAGTTACAAATACCTTTGCATATTAAGTACATATGTACATATTATTATGAATTTATGATTAAGTTGGCATGTTGATACTTTAGTTAAGTTAACTACAGTAGTTTTTAATGCGTGTTAGCATTTTTGGAGGAAGAAGAGCAAGATCTTTAATTTAAATTGTTATTCATTGTAATTGATGTATGGCCTCTATTGTATTAACATACATACATATGCACATATGTATATAGGTGAGATAAGTGATTTATATCTGTTTTATTCGCTTATGGATATGTTACGCATACCTTACATACCTTTGCGACAAGAGTACATACATATGTATGTATGGACATTAACTTACATATGCAAAATAAATTTGGTTATTCTACATGGAAAAAGTGTGTGGCTGATATATAAATGATCTAAAGCCATGTTCATATGTATGTACATATACTAATCTTACTAATTTCTTCTACGCGCTCTTTTCTATATTTCTACTTGTGTGTGCATTTTTTCACATTAAGTAGTATTTCATGAAATTTTTATAAAAAATTGCAAAATTTGACACTTTTACTAAGTATTTTTTAATAAATGTATGTATTAGTATAATTTCAAATGTTCTATATTCAACGGTATACAATTTGTATTCGTAATCATACTGTATAAATGTAAATTTATTTTAAGTAAAAAATTTATTTTATTTGTGTTTAAAAAATGTTCTTGCTAAAGTTATAAAATACCGTAGTTTTTATATAAAATCTTAATTTTTGTTTTTGTACAAGTACGTAATAAAATTAGAGAACGTGAGTGAAAGACTGCAGTGAATGTAATGGAGCAAACGGTGAATTTAAGTACGATTTTTTCTACCATAATACGAACAGAAAGGAAAAAATATTCGCAATAATTAATATATGCATGTATTTATATTGTGTATCCGTGATGAAAACAAACCCAATCTTATAAAATTATTTAGGAGTATATGTATATTAGGGCGGGTCGAAAATTTAATTTTTTTTCAAATCCTTTGGTAATAGTGAAAATATATTATATCATGACGTCAGCAACAAGCCTGTAAAGTATTAACCGTTTATTTTAATTGCAAGAGCCCGCGCATCGACCCTCAAGTTACACAAAGCACACTGGTCGAATAAGACGGATTCCTTGTAAAAATTCAGGGTTCAGCAAAAAGTTTTGGTGGACATCATAAGATAATGAATCTGTAAAGGCCAACAAAAAAGTCAAATATCATCTCTGGCAGCCTTTTAATTTAAGGTTATTCTCAAACTTATCTGTTTTTCAACCAAATTTTAATTGTTCTGTTGGTAATTGCACTGGTCTTTAGTTAAAAGATGTAAAGAACAGCACTCATATTTCTGGGGTGTATTTAGATCGCTGGTTCAAAATATGTATACTAATTTGTTTTTCATATTAGCTATACTTTGTGAATTTTTGCATATTTGGAAACAATTTTGGGAGCTATAATACGAAAACCTTTATTTTTCATCACCGTGGAAAAATTTCATTTATGCAAATGAATATGGAAACACCGAACTAGCAAAAATTGGACAAACACTAATTAGTTTACTTATTATTATTATGCATGCAGTACAAAAATTGCATTTAAATGAAGTGCACAGAAATTTTTGTTCAACATTTTCATTTTTAAATAATTTTGTTTAAATCTGAACGTGTTTTATCATGTTATTATCATAAATCAGTAACAGTAAGTCTCGCCTTCAGTTTGGTAATTATTACGTACAGATCGAATAATATTTGTCAAGAAAAAAAAATCGACAAAAATTTCTGTTAATTTGTGTGAATAACTTCGAAATATAAGCAAACTATTACGGAAAAATTTAAAAACCGCGACAAATGTGTTGCTCGGTTACTAATGAAACCATTCCGCTCCAATTTTCAAGATTTTCTACTTGTCATGTCGTGTCACGGTTTTTCACGCGTTTCCGTGAGCGGTTTTCATAGACAAATCACGTAGTTTCCGTGATCGTGCGTGACTGAAATTTTTGCTGGCGTGAGCGTGCGTGAGTTGGATTTCCGTCAATCACGTAATTTTCATATATAGAGCCTAACCGCCAAAAGTATGTAAGCGAAATTTGTTTCAAAATTTTCTTTTTGATGCAGAAATGTTCCTTAGGTTTTGAAAAAAATTAGCCTTTCAAGGCAAATTTTAAACATACTGGCTAGATCATCAACTATTGAAAGAGTTTTTTCTGTCAGGCACCTCGAAAAACCTTGACGAAATATTGTTTTTGAAGAAAAATATGAAATAATATCATTTTAAAAGTACATTAAATGAATAATGATGAGAATTATTTTCTATGAAATTTGTAAAAAAAAATAATAGTGCCCACTGGGAAAATAGGTAAACACCTTACGAGGTAAGCCATGTTTTCTTTCAGTTTTTAGTACCAAAATTGTCATCGTGGCCAATGTCATCTACTAGTAAAGCACAAAATGAAGACCTCCAAGATTAGTAATCATTTGAAACTTGTAGTCTTATTGAAGAATGATATATGAACGTGAGATACTCAATTTAATAACCTTTCACTTGATATATCGTCTAGTACATAACATTCCCTAGATATTACCAGCCAAAGTTTAATTTTCCAAATTCATAAACTTTGAATCAATTGCGCGGGTTAAAGATATGTTTTAAATTAATCTTTCGTTGCCAATTATTATTGGATTAGACAATTAAGACAATATAATATTACTGTTACAGTGCAATCAAATGCGTTTTATTTTCCCCCATACAAAATTGACCCAGCCTAATGTATACAGTGACTCAAACAATAAACTCGGGTTGATTTCCTCCAATATTCGATATGTTTTTCGAGCATAATTTTTGTTTTTATATTCGTAATATTTTTCCATCCAAATATTTTTTGTTATTTTTATATAAAAATAACGTCTAAATCGTGTAAATCACAGTTTCAAACTTTACACAAAATTTAGGAAAATTCAACAAATTTTCATAAAAATTTCAAATTTTTATTCAGTTTTTAGAAAATTTTTGGGTATGCAGTTTTATAGTTCAAGTTTCAAAAGGCTAAAAAATCGCGTTGATTTTTGAGATTTTTTTTTTACGGATTTTTGCACTTTTTTTCATATAAGTATGAATTTCTTATGTAACAAAACTAATGGTCTCTTAACTGTCTCTGTGTACCTTGTGTGCAAACGCCAGCTTCTGTAGACATCTAATATGTCTGGAATTAAATTCCAAGTTTCTAAAATTTTAGTATTAACAAATTGAAACAAGTTCAGTTTATCAAGTGAAGTCACATAATTATACATAATAAATTTGAGTGTTTCCGATAACTCCTTGAATTCAGAAAACCTCGATGAAAATTCGTCGATGAGGGAATTTGGTCTGTCTGGTTTTTGATCTAAATCAAATCTGATTTTAAATTTGTTAAGTTTGGCAAACATTTGCAATTTTTGGAAACAATGGGCCGTATTCATAGTCAAAATAAAGACGAAACTAAAACTAGTTGCAGCTTTTTCACATAATTATTAATGTAATATGTGCCAAAAAAGCTGCTACTAAATTTAGAGTCGACTTTATTTCGACTATGAATATGCCTCAATATCTTTACCAATAATTTTCAGTTTAGCATAAACAGCGCGAATGAGATCTATGCATAATAATTATAACAGTTTTATTAGAGCATGGAAGCATTATCGCCAATTTTGCAAGCCTCGTATAAGCCTCAAACCTTCGTTTATTTAATGCCTCCGAAGATATGAGGTTTATTATTTTTGAGAACGGAGGTCATTAGATCATCAAGGGAGACGAAGCAATGTTTTCGCACAAAGCTTATTGATTAATGATGTAACAGAACTCAAGAATCGAATGTCTCATGTGGATTTTGGCTCTTCTGAACTCTTCTTGGGTGTGAGTAGATCTTGCTTTGATTTCCAATTTAAACGAAAAAGAGAAATTGTGTCGATTAGGTAGAAAAAACTACTACTGGTAATTCAGGAATTGGGTCCTCAATTAATACCGTGCCTTAGGTTCGCCAGCCCTGACTTATTACGTTTCAACTAATCATGCCAAATGTGAAACATATCAGAGCATAAATACGGTGTGTCAAAATATTTCGACTCTAGCGCCACCTAACGAGATAACTTTTGGCAAAAATGTTTCTGCGTACATAACCAGTATATATTATAAAAAGCAGCCAAATCGCCCAATAAATAAGTTAGATATAGCACTTTTAATTTTGTGTTTATTTTGATATACTTACACGGGTGAAAGTCATTTCTTAAATAAGGACAAGATTTTACATGGGTACTTAAATTTTAGCACTCCTCAAACATTTGTATCAATTTCAAGTGAAAAGTTTGCAGTCGGCCGCAAGCAGCGCATGTATGTATGTACATTACGGTGGTAAAAAAACAGTAAAGTCGGAATTGTAATGCCCTCACCCCCTATGATTGTTCTATATCGAAAAAAGTAGACCC